CATAAGCTAGTTGGTCTATCAGGCGACCGTCTAGCAGAGGAAAAGGAGTCTGGTGAATGCGTTTATGCGCCTCGACCGCCTCATCCGGTAGAATATGCTCAACCAGCTTCTCACCGCATTCCTGTAATCAGAAGTTACAATAAGACGATGAAGATGAGGGCGGGGGGAGTGATATTGACAAAGAAAAAAAAACATTTTTTTCGTATGTCAAAACTATTTCCGAAATAAAGGCACGGGAGCAAACCTATCAAAGTGGATCACTGCCGAGGGTTTGATAGTCTCGACCCTGTCGCCTGGTCTAATTTCACTGGACTGATGAACATATTGACAAAATCATGAGACCAACAGACACCGGCCAGTGACTGAGGTGAAGAGTATTCAACGTCTGGTAACATGCAGGGCCAAACGCTTGCGCATGCATTAGAGCCAAACACAGACACAATCACACAGACCAATAAACACGTATAGAATAGATGCAGGTCGGACTGACTGACGGTAATTAGGCCAACCGAGATCGTCAGATTATCACAGCCATCTCGATTGCGTGTGTGTGTGTGTTGATTAGCACGAAACCACACACTAGACCGGTTTGCGGGAATAATGATGATGATGTATGGAAATGTGAACACAAGCGGTCATCGGACGCAGTCAGGCACGCACGCACGCACACGTTACAATATGCGTTACGGATGAACCCACGGTGCAAGATTATGTAGTACTACTTCGTCGATCGGTTTTTCAACTGTGATCATAAACAACTAACACCACAATAATCATGTAGATGAATGAAGAGAGAAAAAAAGTGTATCGTGTACGCCAAGCCGGTGAATCCGCGCACGGTAACGGGAATCGGAGGCGAGAATCGACATCCACCGCGTGGGGGATGAGATTGATGCGAAGAGGAGGTGCTAAGTGTGTGTGTGTGATTAGCATTGTGAAATAACCGCAATGAAAGGAGAAAAAACACCTCGGGCTTAGCCACGTTTGACGAACACGCGGGTCTACAACAGCGGATCACTTTGTACTCGCGATAGCAAAGGTGAACGGAATCCGACCGAGTGATTCAGTATTCGAGTGTGTGACCGCGTGAGTCTCCGAACTCTATGGCGACCGGTTTAGTCACAGTGAGAGGAGGTAACGATGACAATGACAATTCAGATGAAGAAGAAATCGTCACTGGATTCACCGGAAAACCCGTGGGCTACATAAGGAAACTAAAAAAACAGTGCGTTTGCACATACAAAACTGAGCATTTGAAATAGGCCTATCCAGACATTGGCCCCCGTGAACCTGGATTTCATTGAAACGACTTCGATCAAAACGATAAACGACGATCCTAAATACCTAATGCCAATTTCCGACAATTAAATAGAAATAAAAGTACGATCGGAACCGATGTAGATCCAAAATCAAAGCAGGCAGACACGATAGAAAATTTAATAGTAGATTATCATTAAATTGAGGTAAAAAAACGGCTCTCGTGCTAGGATAATGGGTGAGAAGAGGACAACGTCAGAGAAAAAGCTCAAACTGATCAACAATATACAAACACACAGGTAGTTCATCCAAACGCACACAATGCTTGGTGTGCCCACATGATGAGGATCGATCGACATTGATCGATATTGATACACAGCGTGAATCAACCGAACTCGAAATGGCAGGAGGTGAATCAATTCGTCAACACGTGTACCAACAGTGAGAGGGAGAGAGAGAGTTGATTTATCAATATAACCTGCCCACCCGCGCTCTCTGTTGTGCACAAACCTCGTTCAAGATGACTACATCTGTGTGTGGAGTGGAGATTTGTTTTAATTTTTCTACTAGATGTTGCATTCGTCCAAGCGGCAGCAGTCACCCGTCACTTGGCGTCGTAAGCGCTGCACGCCCTCAGGAAGTGTTTGTTGTTTGGAGTTCGATTAGACTGAAAATCACGCCATACTGAATGTGTTCTCCTCCACATGTACGCATCACACCCAGCAGATGTTCGGTTTCAGTTTCGGTTTTTACAACCATTAACCATGCATTTTCATGCGCCGGCCTTGGTTGCTATCCTTTAGCTATTCATTCCGAAAATAGAGCAGAATGAGAGCAGAGCCAAGGAGAAGATAGAGAATTCATATAGACTGGGGTTGCAAGAGTATGGAGTAGATACACGAGCGCCACTGTTTGAGTTACTCGGCCATTTCACTCACCCGAAGGTGGCGGGGCATCCTATGAGCTTAATGCAACCTACGTGACCGAATCTCTTGGATAGGGTTTTCATGCCAGGTCCTTGGGAGGGGAGAAAACAAGACCACCGGAAAAACTTTTAGACCGTAAACAGCCTCAATTGGTACAATCAAGAGGTGGAAAAGAGTGTGAATTTTTCATCACAACGTTACCCTTAACACGGGTTGATATTTTCTTGTTGGGGGAGCGGGAAACTTGTCTGGCATTTGAATGATTCCAGTAGTTCAATCCGATAATTAACTGACAGTAAATAGCTCGAAAACGTCCACAGACGTCTGAATTCCGAACGCATTCGATGAGTGATATTTTACACTAGATGGTGGGTAAAGTGAACCATAAAACTGGGTCAATACCACCGTCATCATATCAGCCCTCTCACTCCCCCTCCACTCCCAGAATATGTATGTGCAACCAAACTGATGACGTCATAAAAACGAAATTCATTCTTACATGATGATCAGTTTGTGTTGAGTGTGCCGCTTTAAGTTGAGGCCGAGGCCGCTATCAGTTTGAGACAAATCATCAACAAAATCTATATATATACATGCGCCTGAATTTAGATTGTGCACTTCACGACTTGGCAAAAACCAGTTGGGACACCCACCCCGGACACACACACACACAATGAAGAAACAGTGCGATATAGGATAGTTCTAGGGCACAAAAACGAATAGGTGAAGATCCCTCGGTATCACGATCCTCATGAGAATTATCTAACTGTATTGCATGGGAATCCTAAGTGATGGAGAACAACCTGTACATTCGTCGAGGCGGTGCCTGTCATAGTGATTAATCTGTGGTTCATGGGAAGCCGGCTACAACACAGGGTAAACANNNNCCACCCCCATCCCAAAGCTGTTCGCATCGCACCATATCCGATCGTCAGACACTGAAAGTGACACGAAAAGAAATTGCACAAATACAAATATTCACGATCATGGAAAGCGATGGAAACGACAGAGACAGCGGGAGAAAGACGGAAAAAATTCACACAAAACTAGTATGGTCTAACAAAACACAAATATGTGGTATGCTGGCATACGGGACGAAGTTATGCTACTGTAAAATGTTTCCAGCGGCAACAGTAACATGATCAATCCACATCTGTGATACCATAGCGCA